AGACCTGCAGGGTGCATTATACTGCTTACCAAAGGAAAACAGGAAGCGGCTGTGTTTTATTTCTCCGGAGGCTGAAGCAGTTTTATACTTTTAATTTCACCTTTTACGATCTGAAAAAAATCAAAAAAACAACTGCAGCTACTGTTACTGCCAGTTCATGACTGTAGATCTGTTTTTGAGGCTGCTTCTTTTTCCTTCCTACTTGTGATTGACCAATAAATTCGTCTACTGCACCTACTGGCATCCGTACATCCGGCAATCCACTGATATTTCTCCAAACTTCCAGAGATGACGCCTCTACTTGGTTTAAAGAAATAGATTCGATGTCAACTGAGAGTCAGCATATCATCTGCAATTCATTGTGGTATCCTCAGCTTGTTTTGGGTGTTAGTAGTAGTAAGTTATACATGACAAATAATGAGAACAGCCTGTTTGTCATAGCGGCTGATAACTGTGATTTCAATATTTTGCCATCTAACACATGTAGTCACTTTAAACCGTGTTTGTTTCAGCAAGGAATTAACAGAGGGGCTTCTGAGCGACGTCATCAGTGAGGCAGTGTGCGGGCAGGGGACAGAAAATAACCCAAAATAACTGACAACTTACGAGGAAAAGTTGTTTTTGTGCCTAGATCTGCAAAAATGACAAAAAGTAATAAGTGGAAAATGTTCCTTATCCCAATAAGGAAATCTGGCTGTTAGCTCAGAGAGCAGAGTTAGCTGTTAGCCGTTAGCCGATGGACGGATTTTATGAAGGCGGTGGTTGGTTTCACACTGAAACTGCAGGAATAAACAGCGGTTTTAAGGTCAGACAGCTTCACACTGTTGCTGTTTGATGAATGAGGCTACTGCTAAGGCTCTGTGTTTGACATGCGTTTAGGGTTTCACTTTGGGAATGGGTGACAGCTGATGGCTTTGGATGGAAAATGTGTCACGTTGTTATGCTTATAATTTTCCGGAGAGAAAAAATTTAAACAGGCGCACAGTCTCTTTTCATGACCCTGTGTGGCTGCACCAATAACATTGATTGAATCCTGTATTGACACAGTTTGTAGGGAGTGAAGCTCAAATCCAATATGAGCTTTTTTGCAGACATGTAGCACATCTGGCATTTATCCAGTCGTATATTCTGAGGAAATATACATGCTGATGCACATGATAACTTAACGAACGTAGTAACGAGAATGAGTGCACTAGTGCTCTTAACTTGTGCAGCAACCAAAGCTAATGCTAACATTTATCTGTGCTGCTGTCAGTTGATATTTTTGTGCACATGCGGGTCATTTCTTTCTACCTGAGGAGCTAACCATGTGTATAAACTCATCAGCATTACCATGGGAATATTTAGCACGATAGCTGCCGGGGTTGACAGTTCTGTTGGAAAAGTGTGTGTCACGTGCAAATTCTCGGGTAATTTCACAGGTTTCAAGCAAGCTGCTTTTTATTCTCCCCCCGAATGCTGCACTGCTTCCTCAGTTGCTTGTAAACAGGAAATGTTATGTGAAGCATATGCATCATTGCTATGGTTACCTGCCGTTTTATGCATGTTTGCTCACTGATTTAGTGGCTGGTAATAAAAAGTAAAATAAAAAAAATAATAGTAACCATTCTGAAATAGTCATAAAAAGAAATCTGGACAACCATCTGGATTAGTGCTGCAAAGATAAACTGATTTTTTTTTGCCACTTACCCATTTGATCAATAAATCATCAGGGGATCATTTGATAGCCAGAGTGCTAGTTAGGTGCAGCCATAACCTGAATAATGTCATAAGACTCATCAGATGTTCTAGATGGGAGCTCTAGACAATAGCTTCTTTCTTTTTCCAGTAATATTTCCTGATATCGCCGTCCCTGAAGACATTCATGCAAGACTGCATAAGTAGACGTTTTAATGGAGGCAAAAAAAAAAAAGGAGTTAGAGAGAGATAACGACAGCCGAGGAAACAGAGACAGAAGGAGCATGAGAGGCAAAGAGAGAGAGAGATAAAGAAAGAGTTTTGGCCAGTGGAGTTCAGAGGCAGGAACTGAGACAGTGAGTTCTCCCGTCTGTTCCCGCCACCGTAAGGGTGTGAGGTAAGTTACTCGATACCCGCTGACACAGACAGAAGCAGCATGATTGACACCGTGTCTCTCTCGTTTATTTCCTCCCTCTGCTGCTTCGCTTTCAATATTCCTCTCATGGCGGAGTTTTAAAGACGATTTTTATCTCCTCTCACAGCCGCACGGCATCTGATAAAGTGCCTTTTGAAATAAGAGCCTGAGTCATGTGCGACAGTGGAAACACTGACATGGTTTACTTTTATCTGGAATTCACCGCCGGGCCTGAATCCATCACACGGAGTGTCTGGGTGAAAGCATTGAGGAGTGTCTGTGGACAAACAACGGACACGTCTGTGCACAGATGCACATACTAGGGAAAACCACAACCACATACGTGCATGCATGCAAACCCAACTCTAAACACACTCAAGGGTGTTTGTGTGTGTGTGTGTGTGTGTGTTTGTGTGTAGAGAAGGCAGCAGAAATGTCAGAGTATCAATGCACATGAGGAAAAAGGTTAGAGAAAATATAACTGTGGGATGAAGACGAAATATTCTTGACAAAAGTGAAGACAGAAGTTGAAGTCATTCGTCACAGCTGGAGACACCCTCAGCACTCTATTAGCGACTTGGTCCCCAGCACTTCTTGAAAACTAATTAGTTTTGTTAGCTCTGCAAAACAATCAAAAAAAAAAGTTTTTTTTTTTAATCTTTGCCTTTCACAATCAGGAAACAGAGGAAATGAGATTTTGTAGGTGAGCATAACAGCGTGCCACACATCTGCAGAAATGACTGCCTGTGGCCAAATTAGTAATGGAAATATGAGGGTGACATTGAGTTATTTCATATCAGAAAATATGAAGCAGAAACGCGTCTACATCAGGATGAGAGTGAAGTTCAGATGGCGAGATAAAGCTCTCCAGACTGCGTTTGGAGGAGGAGAGAGTGGAATACCTCTGATGAAGAAACAATCGACCTTGTCGTATTGTTCGTCTCTGCTGCTGAGCTGATGTTTATGAATGAAGGTAGATTTCACAGAGTCGAGAGGTCTGTGCTCAAGTGAATGTGAATTGAGAATGTTGAGTGGGTTTGCAGAACCAGGACCAGGAAAACTCGGTGTAATACAACAGGATAGTTTCGTCTTCTGAGATGCAGCTCAGGCTTTGACCATGACTTGAGACAGCATGTAGTGTGTGTGCTTTCAAGACTTTCATTACATACAGAACGCACTGTAGTTAAACAGTAGTTCAACATCACCAGAGCTCTTGTAGAAGTTGTCACATTAGGCTAGAGAAAGCAAGGAAGTGTTTTTTAGGTTTTTTTGAGGTGAAAGGTCTCAGTCGTCTTCTGTGATACACTGCATGGGATAAAAAGATGTAATTATTGAGCCTGACACACATGTTTGTTACCAGGAGCCCTGGGGCCATCATCACTGGGCTGATGTTGCGTAACATGAAGCCGGTATTAGATACGGTCAGCCGATAGTTTTATTATAAACAATCTAATGTCGCATCGCAGGGCGTGGATCTAAACAATCACAAGTGCAACATGCCGGCTTTCTACACTGTTCTTGTTCCAGGCGGCTCATAGTGTTCAGCTGGAAAGCCCCCCCCCCCGTGTGTTCTCACTGGAACAGAGAGTTTATGCAACATCCCAAGCTAACAGGAGATAAGATATACTATATCTAAGGGTCTGCGCTGGAATTCTTGACATTTGTAGAAAAAATTGGAAGCAGAGAATGAAATCGTTAGAGAATATAATATTTACGTTCTCGGGAATGACTTCACTTTTACTCAGCGGCGTAGGTCTGGTTAGCGAGTGGGTTGGATACATTGTTCTGTTTGTATTTGTATTTTTTTTTTATATTGAAAATACTTAATGAATAGACCTTGATCAAAACCAATCTAATGTCATACTGAATCAACAGGACTTTGGTGATTTTGAATTTGTCAGTGGATTACAACAACATCAAGTGAAATGGTGTTCAGGCTGGGAGATCCTGGACACATAAGCGTTGTACATGTCATACATAACCAAAACACAGCAATAGTTCATCTCTAGAAATATCAATGTATTTTTTACAGGACCCATTTTTTCATTTATCAGAAGAAGCCAAACCTCCTTAAATATTAAATGTTGTCTAAACACAAGCGTCTGTACAAGAATCTTGCCAAAATTTAATTGATCAAATTTCAATTCAAACCAGGAGCTATGTGGGGCAGCCTGATGGATGAATGGTTAGGATGGATACCACATGGGCTCAAACAACCTGAGCAGTGAGTCCCAGGCTCGACTCCTGGCCGTCCAGACCATTTGCTGCATGTCTTTCCCATACTCTCTCCCTGCATTTCCCATCTGTCTCTATTAAGCAGGAGCTATTACATAAAGGAATAAGTAAACAAGGTTGCAAATCTGACCATACATGTGGTATCACCAAGAAAGTACTGAGGTCTGATGCCCAGGCCAACATCTTGACAATGGTGGTGAATAAGGAAGGATTTCTTAAGCCAGAAACCAGTGTCCTATGGTTATAGGACTACATTCTGCCAGCTCTAACAGCTTAATACATATATACTTAAACATAACCAGCTATTGTCATTTAACAGTAGACAAACTGAAGGTGCTACCTGCCGAGGATTAGGGCTAAAAAGTATAAAAATCAAATCTTTATGCCAGATTTTCTTTCTTGAAACTGATAAGGTGCAGTGCAGAATGTTTCATTTGTAATGTACCAAAGCTATTTTCTTTATATTGCATGCATTTGAAGCAAAATGTTGAAGTGCAGCAAAACTGTTTTGATTCCAACGATGGTGGATGAATCATCATGATCTCATTGTTGAGCATGAAAACGGTGCCAGTCGCTCCAGCCTCTAATCACGCAGCCTGAGATTAGATCACGTGAAGCATTTTCAAATGGAAAAGTGTAGGTAACGTGTTGAACGTGTTCTCTCGCTCCACAGCCTCCATCACTGACGACAAGGGAAGACGGAGCTGCCTTCGACTCAAAGTCTTCGTCAGGCCACAAAGTGAGTCACAGATTGTTGTGTCTACTCTGCCGGGTTTTTCCATGCTGTCGTGCACCAGCTTGTGATCAGGGTGCACGACGGGTTGACGTTGGATTTGTCTAATCTTCCCATCTCTCTCCCCACTTTGTTTCTCAAAGACAATTGTGTGAAAAACACCGGGAGCGTGCAGGAAGGGGTCGATTTTGAGGACAACAATCACAACTCCCTAGAACCCAGAGGTTGGTGGGAATATACAGTACATAGTCCGTGTGTGTGTGTGTGTGTGTGTGTGTGTGTGTGTGTGTGTTAGAGATTAAAATGTCCCACAACTGCTACGTCTGCTGATAATTCTCTTTTCTTTTCATTTCCTTTAGAATTTTCTTTCACTTTGTACGTCATGACTTTTTAAAGAGTCTAATCTAATGAAGCTTTGAGTGAAAAAAATGAAAAAAGAAAGTAGCTAAGTTAAAAGTACACAAAGAAGAATCAGCACACGGACCAAATCAGCTGGACTTTTAATTGTGCTGTTGATGCAGTATGGCTTTTATTATGCTAAAACTGTATATTTATAATATTACTTTCTATAAACTCTAATGGAAGTGAACTGACTGCTGCTAACTGGAGCCCAGTCTCACCACTAATTGGCCCATGTATTAGCCATATATGGGCCAGAGCTTCCTTGTGTTTGGCCGTGAGCACGAGACCGTGGCTTTGTCCTTTACCACCTGATTAACCCGATAATCCTTCTGTCACTACTGTGTGTCAACATTTTCATTTCCGTGTCTATCTGGGCTTTGTCTTTGTCGACAGTTCTTGCTCGGCTGCATTAACACACTAGAGGGCCCTGGGGCAGAAATTTGCTCTGGGCCCCTATGGACCCCCTGTTTTGGAATAAATTGGTCGAAGGAATAGTTTGATATTTTGGGAAAATAAGCTCATTCACTTTTGTGCCGTGACTCTGCTGAGTCTGCCCATCACACATGAAGCTACAGCCAGGAGACAGTTAGCCTCTCCACCTACCAGCACCTCTAAAGCTCTCTAATTTACTTTAAACTGAATCCTATTTAGCACCGTTTGAATTCTGACACAGGCCCCTGGGTTTGGATGCATTACCAGACTAAGTGGAGCGGCTGTGTTAGAGCTAATACGTGGTGTTGTGTTGCTCTTTAAGGTGCTTTTCATTTCAGTTTATATTCTGCTTTAGGGGGTGCATATTCCCAACCAAAGCAGTTATTCAATTTACCATGAAACAACTGACACATGATTAATATGAGGGTGTGGGGCCTGGGGCCAGTCGCAGGCTTCTCCCGGTTGGTAATGCAGCCCTGTTGTACATGTCTGTGCTCATTTATCCCTGTGCATGACGAACAGTGTCTGATTTCCTCAGTGTTTCAGCTCAGAGAAAACCAAACCATCGCTTCTGTTAACGATGATCATTTCCATATTTCTCCCCCCCCCTTCAGACGGCATCAGTCACGAGTCTCCAGAACCGTCTCGAAGGGATGTGAATTCTGTCGGCCGGTGCCAGACTTCAGTCGTCCTGCTCAGCTCCGCCCTCATACTCCTGGCTGCCATCTTGTCTTTATAGCGCCTAGTGTGAGGAATCCCTTGCAGGAATGGACTGTCCTGATTGGACCACAGGCCTGCCCTACCCTACAACCCCTCCCCTGAAGGAGCACTTTTTAAAAAAAACAAAAAAAAAGAAAACACTGACAATCTCTCTCAGCGAGAAGAGAGAGGAAGGGACTTCGACGCCGAAGCCTTTGATGTTTTTTTTTTTTTTTTTTTGGACTTTGGAAAACGCCAACTAGTGTGATTCTTGACTTTCCGGTGGGTGCTGATGGTCGAGCCCCCACCCCGAGGTGAAAGAGTCTCTTTACCTGTTCGCCTCGCTGCTGTTCACAGTATGCAGATGTTACACATTTATTTGTGTTTAAGCGAAGCACGCATACATGCTTTTAAACATATACACACATTTGAACGCAAACTACACAATCAGTACACTCTTTAGCTTGAATGGCAAAGAAGCACAGCAGGATCCCTCTGAAGTTTACAGACCCTTAACATCTTTGTGTTCAGGAACATCACGTAAACACCCCCCGACATGTAACATGATTAAATCTCACGTCCAAGTGGAAAAAGGTTTCAAAGAAGATCTGGGAGCAACACATCACTTAGCGGGCCAACGGAAGGGAAAACAAGGGGGATGTTGTTGCTAGGAGACTGTTGCCGAGGGCAAGTGGAGTTACAGGACAGGCCTTTGATGACTTAACCTTCCTCTCAGGTTAAAAAGGATGCATCGTCTCAGACTGTGGAGGACCCTTGTTGAGAGTTAAAAAAAAAAAAAAAAAAAAGAAAGAAAATTTTAAAGAAGCACTCATCTTTTAGTGTTTGGATAGAGGCGAGTTAATGATTGAGTAATGTATTTGTTTTTTTGTTTTTTTTAATAAATCACGTAATTCAATTGTAGCAGACAACACGAGTGTACAGTAAAATATTTGAGCGAAGCATTAGAAGTCAATATGGTATTTTGCCAGGCAAAATGTATTTTCCTATTTATTGTGAAGTCCTCGTGCTTTTATTCTGTTCTGGTTTAGTCTGTAAGTACAGTAGAAAGGCAATAAAAAACAAAGTACACTTCCCATTCAAGTTAGTTCATATTACTCACAGTTCAGTTGAAACAATCATATATGATACAAAAACACTGCGTACAGTTTATGTATCTGTTTGGATCGATTGCTGATGACGTTTTTTTTTAATTATCCAGGAAGAAAAAAAAAAAAAGTCTGATGTGCTATCAGGGTGTAGAAATCATAGAATATTTGTGTCTCGAATTTTTGTCATTAACGAATGTCACAATTGTAGTTTTACTATTACACTATTGCTTTTGTGAATCACTGTCATAACACAACTATTGTATATAGAGGCAAATTTCCTACAAAAGTTCAGGGATGCGTCCATGCTTAACATGAGGTAAGAGATGATTTTAGTCTTTTTTTTTTTCTGATGGAGGGGGTTTACTTCTCCTCGAATAAAGCAGCACAAGTTTTCTGTGGCTAAAGATGTTTCTGAGAGACAGTGACTGAGTTACAGAGCAGGTGGTAGCGGTGTGTATGTGTGGGTCTGGGGTTGCATTCTTTGATGTTGTGTAAAGTGCCGTCTGTACAGAAAATACACCAGGGGCACCCTCGCGCCGGTTATTTCTGGAATGAAAAATCGACCACCAGGCGAGATGGAATAAACAGAGCGAGGTGTCCTGTTCTCTCCAGGCCAAACTGAAACTCTACCACCAGTGGACCTGAGAGGGGGGGGGTGGGGGTGAGATGTGAAGCTTCGTAGTGCTCCTGCTGAGATCAATACTCGTGTTCTTCTTCTGCTTTGTTTTATTTTATTTTTTTAAAACAGATACGTGCGGTAAACATATCCTATCCACACGTCAGCTTCAGCAGCACTGTTACCTTCACGTGCGCTCACTGCCAAACGAAAACCACAGCCCTGCTAGATTTACAGAGCCCCTGCAGTACCTGCTCATCTGGTACAGTGCAAAGGAGTATAGGGCCACTTTAGGGGGAAAAATAATATCAGACTGAGATTAAAATAATCATTTTAATATAAAAGCCATAATGAGAAGAGTCATAATGATGAGAATAAAGTCAGAATTTTTAAAAGTAGGTCATATTAGAAGAATAAAGTTGAACTTTAGAGAATAAAATAAGGCTATTATGAGAGTAAATCAGAAGTTTAGAAGAAAAAGCTTTATGGGAGTAAATTCATCATTTTACAACAATGATAATAATAATAATAATAATAATGACAACACAAGAATAAAAATTGTAATTTTAGACAAAATCTAAATATAATAAGTATAAAGTCACATTATTGTGAAAGTCAAATTGTAATTTTATTCATAATATATGAGAAACAGTTACTATTATAAGAATAAAATTTAATTTTCTTAGCAAGCATCAGATTTTTATTTCCCTTGACAGTGGCCCTAACACTCTGTGAGACTGCTCGGTGTCAGCGAGGTCAAGCCCAAACTGCTGAACATATGATGTCATAGTGATGTCATTAGGGTCATTTTTTTCCAAACTTTAGAAAATGACTTTTTAAGAAATGGAAGTTAATGAGTTAAATTGGTGCAGTGCCCCTTTAAATAAATACTTCACCCTCTCAGTTTGCAAATGACAGAATTCTATTGATATTTATGTTTATTTGAAAGTTGCAGCATTAATACAATACTCTCGTGTCATTTCTTGGATTCATGAATTCTTTTGAACTACTGAATTTTACAAGATAATCTCAAACTATTTGATTTCTGTCTGTTTCACACACAAAAACCTAAAGAACATTCTCATATCTCAGAATGAAAATGTCATTAAATATCAGCTGAGAGTGCGACATAACATTACAATGTGTGAAAGTCATCCCGTAAATTTCTCAGTTAAAAACCAGTGAATGGAAGTGAATAAGTACATTCAGCATGTTGATGATCAGGGAATCATTTTTAATTTGAGGGCACTAATTACTTTTCCTCCTGACACCTTCCAGCCTCCACATATGTAGTTTGGTCGACAATTAAAGTCCACTGTCACTGAAATCTTTGCCTCTAGCCATGCCACAATGAGAAAAACCAATCAGTTAGTTTTGTGGATACTGTGTATCCAACAATTAGCCTGTTGTAACATACAGTGTTAGATACTTTCTCTTTTTTTCACACCTCTTTTGAAGGGCGATTTAACTGACACATTAATGTTCTTAGCAAGAAAAAAAAGTCAATGTTTGTAATAAAAAAAAAAAAATGCTTTATTTCATTTTATATGTCTTTTATATGAAATAGAAAAAAAAACAGGATCAACATTGTACATGTGTTTGTGCAAACATGGCACATATCAAACATGCAGTGTGGTCGGGTTACAATCATGAATCAAAGGGCCTGAAGAAAGAACAGATGGATCTCCAAGAACCTGAAAACATCCGTTTTCTCTCCCTTTTTTTTTTAAAGAAAAAATAAACTGCTTTTGTTCATTGTATTGTTGCATCCAAAGTGTCTTCAAGGTGCAGTATAGATCTTTGTTTCCATTTGTGGTCTCTCGCTAATCTTCACCTCCGGCTGTTGCGGTTGAGATTGCTGTGACGATGTTTTGCGGGATCCGGCAGATGCGATTGACTTTTTCTTGGTGTAGATGCTCGATGTGTTCGTTTGTGGCGGCAGGAGAAAGTCTGTTTTTTCCACATCAAATTTTGATGTTTCATGTTTTTTCGAACAAACTGTGCTACAAGGAGGGCGGTGTACTGTGCTCTGAGGACTTCTTCTTCACCTGATTTTGGTACCATGTAGCCTGAAGCTAACACCACTGTGTCCCTGGCTTGCAGCGTCTGTTCTCCATCCTCTGTATTTAAAAAAAAAAAAAAAAAAAAAAAAAAAAAAAAGGATGTGTGCTTTTGTCAGTGCATCTAGCATTGGGAATGTTTTGTTACTTTAGCCACAACTGTGTGTGTTTTTTTTTTTTTTTCCCAAACATGACATGGATGTGCCACAAAACTGCACATTTCTTTTAACATTGTAGTAACTGTACCTTGTGCCTATATGAGCGCCATCCTCTCCTGTACTCATCTAAACTGTTCTAATGTCTGTTTCCTGCTCAGCCCCTCACTAGACTTTTCTACAAAAAGGCCATTTCTTTGTAAATACACGTGTTGGAGCAGCTATGACTAACTAAAACAAACAACAAAAAAAGATTTAATAAATATTCCTTTGTCGTTGTAATTATCGTGTCTGGTTTGTTTTATTAATAGTTATGTAAATGAGTGACAGTTTGCGAAACGGAACGAACGTCAGAAAGGCGCGAAGGCTGCGTCGGGGCAGCTCGAGCGCGAGCGCTTGGATGTTTGTCTTGGTTGTCACTCGATGCATAATCACACAGGCTGAGTCCGGGGGAAGTGGGTGAACAGCTGTTTCTCTATAATCTGGAGGTAATTCACAGGCTGAAAAAACAAAAACAGAAACAGCTTCAATTAATCTTGCGGGAATGTGCAGCGCTTCGGGGAGCTCTGCCAAGAAAACTCCGTCTCACACGCTCTCTTGCTCCTCGCTCCACTCTGCCTCTCCTGCTGTCTGCTTCAATTTCTCACTTTTTGTCTTTCCCAGTCTTTGTCTCCGTAGACCCCCTCCCCCCCTCTGTCTCTCCAGTGACTTTGCCAACCTGATGCAACAACGTTGAGTCGTCATACTGTAGCATTTCAGCAGCGTTGTCACGAACGCGCTTGGAAATTTTGCAGGAAAAGGTCAAGAACACAGTGTTTTTTGATCAAATGTAACAACCTGCTTCATCAACAGTAACTAAAGTGCAGCTGAGGCGTCTGAAGCAAAGTGGAAAATCGAGATTTCTGCCTTGGATGAGCCGTGAACTCTTAGTGGTGGATGAAATCTTCTCCACTCCAAAAGGGAAACTCGAGCGATTTAATACTGCTCTTCCATCAAGTTAGCGGAGTCACAAAAGACAGATTAAAAACTAAAATGGTTTAAATCTAAGCAGCAGATGCTGAAACATCCAAACTTTTATCCCCTCGAAAAAAAAAGATCAAGCTCCAAAACATGTGTCCTTCATTTTCCATAACGCAACCTGATAGCGTTGTTCATTACACCCGCACATTCCCGTGTCTTTTCACTCCGCACCTTCAGTTTGAAATTGTACTCTGGTAAAAGTAAAGAGCAATAAACAAG